GTTGTACAGTATATTTCCTGTCATTGTGTGAAAAAGCTTGGTCATTTTGCTAAACAACCCTTTTTGTATTTTGCAGAAGTAAAAATGGCTTGGAGATGTTATTACTTAAATACTACAGACAGTTTTGTGCTTCATGAATTATTCCTTCAAACAGCAACAACAACATTCTCATCGAAAATGAGCAAAACGGCGAACAAACACACAATTGTACACAAATGACATCAAAATCGCAAAACACTGACATTTTTAAGAACGTTTTTAATTATAAACAGTAGGCATCAAAAAACAAAGCAAATCTCTCCCTCGTTTTCAAAATCATTTACAAGTCGTCAATCCTTTGAAGATCTCAATATATGTACAAAACAGCGGTTCAAACTCCTGAGAACTAAATATCAAAATGAAGATAAGCACATGTTAACTACAAGCGTGAACATCCTCTGGTCAATGTTCTGGCCTCAAACTGTATAAAAATAGGTTTGTTTTTTTCCCCATAGACAAATATTTCCAGCCAGAATATGTACAAAAAATAATAATATTTACTGCGACTGGCCATCGTAACACGTTCAAGTGCCACTGTTGTGAATCTCCAGTGAGTTTTTAAACAAGACAAGCTAACAAATACAGAAAAAACAGTAACGCTTTGAGAAAACAGAAGAGAAAAAGTGTGTTTGAATAAATATCTAATGCTTTCATGTGCAGCCAAAGGCACTATGCTTGGAAATATATACATTTATTAACATAAAGTAAGCTAGTATTGAACTTATAACCAAACATTTGCACGTTTGACTAATTTTATATACCTTTATGACATATTGTTAACACTGAAAATGAATAGAGGAGACAGATCTCTGAAATTTAAAAATAAAATATAATAAAATAAAATATATGTCTGCGGGTGTGTGCGAGTATGTGTGGATGAAATTAGAAACACAAATAAATGAAAACACTGGGATACTCTTAAACTCCTAAAATAAATACAATTTTACCATTTTTTTGTTATGAAAGTATGTATGACTTGTACACATTGTATATATATTTACTAAACTAAAGGTACAAATTTTGTGTTAAACATAAAAAAAAGTTAATAATTTATGAGTATTGTCATAATCACCTGCAATCTAGCTCTTGTAGATCATTGGAAACATTCACTTTCACCCAACACCCGAACTACAATTCTGCCACAGAACAGCACTACATTTCTCATCAGGCACCTCACTCATGCACCAGTTCCAGATCACCCCTGATTAGGTACACACAGCTGGAAACTCATCATGGGCTGATATCCTGGACTATTTAAACACCACACTCGCACACACACAGTGCTAAGTCTTGTTATCATGTAGCATTACAAAGCATTCTATTGTCTAGCCTTGCCTTGTTTCTCTTTAGGTTGTTTTGCCACTTGTATTAATCTTGTTGCCTGAGACCACGAAGACAATTTTGGATTTTCCTCATGATAATGTTTGTTTTGACCATTGCCTACATAACATTGAGTTCTCAACTCCATTGTACCCTGACTCACATGTTACAGAAGCCTCAACAACCAGTGAGGAAAAGTGAGCAGTCTATATAGTCTGTGTAATGAGTCCTTGAACAGCTTCTAGCTGTGTGTGTGTAATCCTCTGAAAACTGGAACAGGTGTGTGTGAGGTGCATGACGGGATATGTAGTTCATAAAGTGACAGAATCGTAGTGCTCCAGCGATCTGCAAGCATTAAATTGCTGGTGATCATGACAAGTATGCTGAAACTTCATTCCGAATTAAATTAGAAACAAAGGCAAAAAAAAACAAACAAAACAAAAAAAAACATTTTGGGGTTATGCTTTTTTGACTTTTTTTTCATTTCTGTAACTTCAATTAATAAAACAAATATTTTGCATTTTTATGCAATTAAAATACTTGGGATTAATAGTAAACACTTCAAATGTCTTTCAAAGTACCCTAAAATATAATTAAGGACAGTGGGTCATAAAGTAATGACAATAGTAAAAAATAATGGTAAATTTACATTTTTCAAAAATGTATTTTCTGGATAAAACAAAGAAAAAGTTCATAAAAAAATTATGAAAAACTGGGCTTGAAATGGTAAACTCTAAAAATAAAATAAAATAAAAATATGAGTTTTCTGAAAGGTCGTTCTAAACTAAATTACAAACTAAGGCAATAAAAATAAATGACAATTTTGGGGTTATGCTTATTTTTAGCTATTTTTCACTTTTTCCATTTCTGTATCTTCACAAATTAATAATAACATTTTTACTTGATACTTTAATACTTGAAATTAATGGTAAACTCTTCAAGTGTCTTTTAAAATATCTTAAAGTGTAGTGAAGTATAGTCTGTCATAAAATAATGACAATAATAAAAAATGTCCATTTCTTCATACATTCTAAAGTACATTTCTAAATGTACTTTCTGAATAAAACAAGACTATTTTTATTCAAATAATGAAGTACTGGGCTTTAAATGGTAAACACTAAAAATAAAATAAAATAAAAAGGATAGAATAGAATAAGAAATGAAAAAAAAATTGAATAAAACAAATAAAATAAAACAAAATAAATAAAAAATAAATAAATAAAATAAAAATAGAATAGAATAAAATAAAATAGAATAGAATCAAAACAAAACAAAACAATATTTTTTAGAAGAAAAAAAAAACACTGGGATTTAAACAGTAAAACTTCTATGAAATTTAATTTTTTCAACCACAGTAAACAGTCTCTTCCTGATAATTATCCACCCAAATATCTCCCTCATTAATAATAAAAATAAATAAATAAAAAATGGAAAAGCAGCTTAATCTGCAGAACAAAATAAGCCTGCGCTCTTGCAAACTCAAAGCAGACTGTAGTGCAGCTGCAGAAACACTGCCGCTGATTTATGAACAATGAATTAGCAAGCATTAGCAACTGCTGTATCTTTTTCAGCAGGCGTGCAAACCGTGGTGACTCGTGGAGGAAAACAGATGCTCGGCAGTAATATTAATTACAAAGCAGTGTGTTTGAGGTGAAGCCCATGCGCCAGACACGGCATTCCGGGAAAGCGTAAGTGTATGGAGTGTAAGTGAGGAGCAAGGGTGGAGAAAAGGAGAGCAGAAAAAGAGGAAATTAAAAGGAGTGCAGTAAAATTGGTGAAGGCCACAAGGCTTTGGTAAAAGCGTGGTGGTTTTGATGTGTGGTGGTGAACTTCAGCCCACCGTCAGACCACATCAGACCTGCTACTGATCCATTCACGATAAAGACACTGCCGTCTCATCAAATACAGCAAAATAGAGAGCAAAATTAAACCACATGTGTAGCAGTCATTCCCTGCAAATCAGCTGTCTGATCAGTATTTGTGTCTTTTTTCTAGTTAAAAATATATGTTAATTTGTTAAAAATGCTTTAAATTAGAAGTAAAATTTGCACGATGTCTCTTGAAATAAGTGTGTTTCCTTAAACGTTTTTTAAAAAATATGCTTAAGACGAGAACAATAGTACTTTTTTTCTGAAGAAAAACTGAATGCAGTTTTGTGTACATACAAGTCTTTGGTTAAAGGAAAATGTCCATGATTTGTTTTAAGGTTTATTTTATATAAATATAATATATTATGTTTAATTTACTTAATTTTAAGGCAATGGTAATTTACTCACTTTTTTAAAGTAAAGTAAACTAATCGTTTTTAACTAATGAGTTAACTCACTTTAAGTAGTCAACTAATCGCTTTAAAAAGCAACTGGTTTACTCACTTTTTAAGTAAAGTCAACTAACTGCTTCAAAAGCAATTGGTTTAATCCACCTTTTAAAGAACAGTCAACTAATCGCTTTTAAAGCAACTGGTTTACTCAATTTGTAAATCAAACTAATCCCTTTACGACTAACGAGTTAACTCAATTTTTAAAGTAAAGTCAACTAATCTTTTTAAAAGCAACGCGTTTACTCACTTTTTAAAGTAAAGTCAACCAATCTCTTTAAAAGCAACATGTCAACTCACTTTTTTAAGTAAATTGAACTAACCGCCTTAAAAGCAACAGGTTTACTCGCTTTTTAAAGTTAACTAATCGTTTTAAAAGCAATGATTTAACTCACCCTTTTAAGTAAAGTCAACCTTACGGTTTAAAAAAGCAATGGGTTTACTCATTGTTTTAAAAGTAAAGTCAACCAATCTCTTTAAATGCAACATTAAGTAAAGTCAACTAATCTGTTTAAAAGCAATAGGTTTACTCACTTTTCTTAAGTAAGGTCAACTAATCGCTTTAAAAGGCAACTGGTTTATTCAATATTTAGGTAAAGTCAACTAATCACTTTTAAACCAACAAGTTAACTCACTTTTTAAGTAAAGTCAACTAATCATTTTAAAAGCAACATGTTAACTCACTTTTTATGTAAAGAACTAATCGCTTTAAAAGCTATAGGTTTACTCACTTTTTTAAGTAAAGTCAACTAATTGCTTTAAAAGCAAAGGGTTTACTCTTAACTAATCGCTTTTTATATTGTAAACAAAACATTATCAGAGTAGTAAAAATCTCATTATAAAGAGTAAATTATATTTATTTGTCTTATTTTATGCTATTAATACCAGTACCTGAACATGTATACAGCAGACACCAAATTAGTACACTTTTAAATATTCTTCATGCAGTATTCTTTTTGCAATACTGATTTATTTATACTACTAAGTATAATAATAACTGCTCAATTTTTTGCTCAATAATAAAACTTCCTTTAAACTGTAAATGTACATTTATAAATATTATTTATGCAATCTTATGCAAATTTAGCTTTTTAACTCTATTTCAAAGATATGTATGGCATTGATTTGATTACATTGAGTGAACATAATATATTGTTAAAATTTTTTTCTTCTTCTAGAAAACGAGACCAAAATACTGATGAGAAAAAAATCAATACTTTCAAACTCAGTTTTTGTGACTTTTCATGTTAAACTACAGCATGTTTTGCTCCTAGCCTGGAGTTGTCATATATATATATATATATATATATATATATATATATATATATACTTAATAATAAAAAAGCAGTGAGAGAGGAAAAAAGCAAGACTGTGCTGCACCTGGTTCGAAAGCTAACAGTCATAAGTGGTGTGGTAACTGCTACGGGTTACGCACACAGTGCAGCTTAATTTTAGCAGACTTGTTTTCTTTGTGTAAATCCACCCTGTGATCATAAACCATGTAAACCTCTCCCTTTACATCCCCAAGAACAGATCTGCAGCAAATTACAGCCATTTTGCTAGGCATAAAACGTAAACGGAGCTCTGAGAATACATAAAATACATACAACTAGTGCTGTCAAACGATTAATCGGGATTAATTGCATTAATCAAAACAATTTTTAATATTTATTTAATACATGTGTGCCAATTGTATATATTGATTATGTATATAAACACACACATATACATAAATCGCATCAACAAAAATATTTACATTTATATCCAACGTATATTATTTATTTATATATACAGGAATTAGTAATCTAAAGCACTAAAGTGCGAATATTCTTGAAGTTCTTGAAGTTTTATTTAACATTGGTCAGGAATAAACATTTAGGCTTTAAAGACTGCGCTGAAACATTTATCACTTTACTGACGAATGTAAAAAAAAACATCAAAACAAAAATATTTAACATACTGTATGATTGTGGATCAGTACTTCCTGTTTTATCAATCTAACCGATCAACGCACCAAGTGAAAAACATCGCGATTAATTGTTTGACTGCACTACTCACCACTCATACAACATACACATCTCGCCTGTCCACCCAATTTAAATAACACTTTCTCCGCTTTACTTAAATTACTGTTCGGCTGTTTAATAAAAGTCCTTCTCAAACATACCATTCCCTGCGCGAGATCACGGACCCGTCGATGTGCGACACGTAATCATTGTCTGTGGCATTATCGAAGCACTCGTCCCGCAGGTAGGGGGAGCCGTTGTGCAGCGGCGGCCCACTGGGGTTCACATTATGATGGTTGTGGTGGTCAGAATAATAACTGGCTTCCCTCTGAAGGCTGAGATTGTCGCCCCAACCCTCCGTGTCTTTGTGGTCGTTGGGATAGTCAGGGTAAATGATGTCTCCTTCAGGCTTGGGCTTCAAATCCTGGCTGCCGTTGCCCGAATCGTCTCCGTAAACATCCTGAAGCTCGTGCGGCTCAAGAACATCCAGTTGTGACTCCTTCTGCATGTCCGATGGGCCTATGTATTGTTTTGTATAATAGTCCCCTCTGAATGTCCGACGACGGCGCATGTAGAAAGCCCCAGCTAGAGCCAACAGCAGCACCAGGATGAGGATCCCACCGACAATGCCACCTACGAGAGTTGACAGATCGGCGTCCCGCGGAGAGGAACGAGTCGGGGAGCTAAAGTGGGCCCGCTGGTTGATTGGAGCCGTGATAGTCAAACTGGTGTCGGGGTGGAGGGACTTGGAGAAGGTGGTGGTGGTGGTCGGGGCTGCAGTGGTGGGTGGAGGATCTGTGAGGGAAATATTAAAACAGAGACAAAGAAATAGAGGATTAGAGATGACTGTCTGGTGGTGATTGACCAATATTATAGATTGGTGTAGAAATTCTTTGTAAAACTCTGAGAGGAAAAATGAACATAACATTTTTTTAAATAGGTTTATTTATTAAAAAAAACACATGAATAAATGTAGCTGCATTAACAATCAACAGGGTCTAAGCACTTTAAGGCCTTTAAAAGGTGTAAAAAGGTATCTTTAAAACAATAGATTCAGGCATGTAGACATGGTCCAAACATCCCAAGTCCTCCATATGCGTAGAGACTCCCAGCTGCCTGCAAACGAATGATAATCTTCCGGAAATCGCGCATTTATACATCGTGCATACACCCTACCACAACTCCCGCAACCTCCCGCAAATCATTTATGTTCCACCCGGAAATTACTTTTCTAAAGTAGGGATGTCTGCATGGTCAAGATGATCTGCTTCAGTTCAAACCGAGCATCAGAATGGGGAAAAAATGTGATTTAGGTGACTTTGAACGTGGCATAGTTATTGGTGCCAGACGGGCTGGTATGAGTATTTCAGAAATAGCTGATCAACTGGGAATTGTCCTGCACAACCATATCTAGGGTTTACAGAGAATGGTCAGAAAAAGAGAAAATATCCAGTGCCTTATTGATGTCAGAGGAGAATGGCCGGACTGGTTCCAGCTGATAGAAAGGCAACAGTAACTCAACTAACCACTCGTTACAGCTGATGTATGCAGAAGAGCATCTCTGAATGCACAACATGTCCAACCTTGAGGCGGATCGGCTACAGCAGCAGGAGACCACACAAGGTGTTACTCCTGTCAACTAAGAACAGGAAACTGAGACTTCAGTTCACACAGGCTCACCAAAAATGCACTATAGAAGAATGGAAAAATGTTAAATGTTGCCTGGTCTGATGAGTCTTGATTTCAGCTGCAACATTTGGATGGTAGGGTCAAAATTTGGCATCAACAACATTAAAGCATGAATCCATCCTGCCTCCTATCAACGGTTCAGGCTTCTGGTGGTGGTGTAATGGTGTGAGGGATATTTCCTTGGCACACTTTGGGCCCATAAGTACCACTTGAGCATTACAGTATGTCAACACCACAGCCTACTTGAGTATTGTTGCTGACCATGTCAACCCCTTTATGACCACAGTGTACCCATCTTCTGATGGCTACTTCCAGCAGAATGATGTGCTATGTCAATAAGTGCAAATCATCTCAGACTACTTTCTTGAACATGAAAATGGGTTCACTGTACTCAAAATGGCCTCCATTTTTAACACTAGAATTGCCAGACTTTTCTATAACTACATAAACTATACTACAAATGTTGGAAATTAATAATGAATTACATTAACATGGATTTTTGGATGTTAAAATGCTCCATTTTATTGAAAACGATTATGTTAATGTTTTAACTCTAGTGGAGTTGTAAACAATATTTTCCAAATAAACAGAATGTTCTTTAAAGATTATATCTAATGTATTAATAGATTATTAGGCTTTGTAAAACCCAAAACAAAATGAATATTGGCAAAAAAATACAAATAGGAATAATAAAAAAAAAAAAGATAATATTTATTTAACAGTATTTTGTGCATCCCAAAACCTATCCGCAAACTTTCAGGAAGGTTTTTCCAAAGCAGATTCTGTGGGAGCAAAGGAAAAGTACTGTTTGGAGTAAAGGTGTTTCTCTCAAGATAAAAGGACAGGACTGATATGACAAAGAGGAAAACAGAATCTTGCTGATGTTACAGCAGCTTTAGGCACCAAAGGGCACAATTATATAAATGCGGAGGTTTGTGAAGACTCTGTAAGAAAGGAGAAGATCTTCTCATGGGACAAAAGACAAGATGTTAAAACTATTGCTCTTTTTGTTAGAATAAATGTGGAACTATTTGGTGCATCCATTTACTGAAATAGGACTTTCATTTTAAGAAAGTCACTTTAAACTTTTCTATAGACCAAGAAGCCAGCTCTTGATTTTTTTTTGTCCTTTGCTGTTTGCGTGCCAATAAAATCCAAAAACTGCTGCAATATCCTTGTTTTCCTCCCTGAGGAAAGCCAGATATGTGGTAAAAATCACACAGTGGCAGAGACTTGATTGAATTTAAACTACTACAAGTTTGATCCAACTATATTTACGTCACTGTATAAACCTCACAGGTCAATTATGGAGCATTTGGCAAGTTTAACTTTTAGAAAAAAGCTTCTGTTAATGGTATTTTCAACAAGACATTCAGGAATTGACATATTTAGTAACAGGAAATACTCTCAATACAGTTTGTAACAACAAAACAATGTCAAAACATCCTGCGAGGTTTGTCAGGTTTTTCCAGGCTGTTCAAGATTTAACCTGAATGGACAACAGGTTTTGTAATCTAAAAATGTATCACAAAAAAAAAGAAGAAAATCAGCATTATTCTTGTTCACTCCACAAAACCCCATACTGTTAATAACAATAGAGTAAAATCATATTCATATGATATTAGTCATAATAACAATAGAGTAAAATCTGTAACCAACAAAATTGTTGATTCTTATATATTTTGTTTATTAATAACCTTGACAAATAAATATAGTATTCTAACATACACTCACTGGCCACTTTATTAGGCACACCTTACTAGTACCAAGTTGGATCTACTTTTGCCTTCAGAACTGCCTCAATCCTTTGAGGCATAGATTCAACAAGGTACTGGAATTATTCCTCAGATATTTTGGTCCATATTGACATAATAATATCATGCAGTTGCTGCAGATTTATCGACTGCACATCCATGATGTTAATCTCCAGTTCCACCACATCCCAAAGGTACTCTATTGGATTGAGTTCCTGTGATTGTGGAGGCCATTTAAGTACAGTTAAACTCTTTGTCATGTTCAAGAAACCAGCCTGAGTTGATTCGCACTCAGCCATCAGAAGATGGGTACACTGTGGTCATAAAGGGATGGACATGGTCAGCAACAATACTCAGGTAGGCACAATGCTCAATTGGTACTAATGGGCCCAAAGTGTGCCAGGAGAATTTACCCCACACCATTACACCATTAACACCAGCTTGAACCATTGATGCAAGGCAAAATGGATCCAAGCTTTCATGTTGCTGACGCCAAATTCTGATCTTACCATCTGAATGTCGCAGCAGAAAGACCCATCAGACCAGGCAAAGTTTTTCCAATATTCTATTGTACAATTTTTGGTGAGCCTGTGCGAACTGTAGCCTCAGTTTTCCGTTCTTAGCTGACAGGAGTGGCACCCAGTGTGGTCATCTGCTGCTGTAGACCATCCGCCTCAAGGTTGGACTTGTTGTGCGTTCAGAGATGCTCTTCTGCATTATTTGGTTGTAACGAGTGGTTATTTGAGTGTTGCCTTTCTATCAGCTGCAACCAGTCTGGCCATTCTCCTCTGACCTCTTGCATCAACAAGGCATTTGCGCCCACAGAACTGCCACTCACTAGATATTTTCTCTTTTTCAGACCTAACCCTAACCCGAACTCTAACCCTAACCCTTAATCATCAGCAGTTTATGAAATACTCAGACCAGCCCAATTGGTACCAACAACCATGCCACATTTAAAGTCTTTTAATTCACCTTACTTCTCCATTCTGATACACGATTTGAACTGCAGCAGATCGTCTTGTCCATGTCTACTGGACTAAATGCATTGAGTTGCTGCCATGAAATTGCCTGATTAGAAACGTGCATTAACGAGATGTTGGACAGGTGTACTTGATAAAGTGGCCAGTGAGTGTATTTTCATAGCCTAAACACATTCATCAGAAGCAATAAAAAACGTAAATGCAAAAAAAATAAATAAATAAAATAAAAACTACACCATAATCATGACTTGTCGTTATCACCATTATGCTTCAGCCAAGTCTTTTTAATCTAAATTTAACATCTTCAAGTTGAAAATTTTGAGTTAATACAGTTTGTGTAAAGGGGTCATGAACTGTTTTGTTTTATTTTGTAGTGTTGTGTGAGGTCCACTTATGTTATTAAGACTTCTAATAAAAACTGGATGACTTCCATCTTAATTTAAATGTTCTGTCCTGATTTTATACTCTCCTTATCTGAACAGTTTGAATAGGTGTGGCAAACTATAAATAAGATGTAAACACCCACTGATATGATTGGTTAACAACACTACTGTAATTGAGGTTAAAATGCGTAAATATCAAATTATCTCTAATAAATGAAAAAGTAATAGTTAACATGTAATAAAAGACACGCTATGACAGTACTATCAGATCCAATATAGTCTGTTATTTAGTTTCTGTGTTGAATTGTGCCTTGTTTGTAAATTGTGGGTTTTATCATCAAAAAATGACACCCCTGTCAGATTTAGCATATCTTCCTTGAAATCGCTGCTTAGTCAAAGTCAATTCTCAAATAATAACCCTAACACACAATATTGCACATAATAATCCTTAATCCTTTCAGGGATGCTTTTTTTTGCCAGTGCACAAGATTTCTAGCATGACCGTCACTTAAACTAAATGTGGGACAATTCGAAGTATGTGTGGGAGAACATTAACAATAACAAAACATAACCTGAAACTGCAATTTAGCAAAAACACAAGTATTCTGCCTGTTAGATCGTATCTGTTCTTTGGCTCTTTCCAGAAAACACAGCATAATGTCTTTATTTCACATGTAATTTGCATTCAGAGAATAACCTGCTCCACATTTTAGACAGCCGTCTATCACATAGAAGAAACAAACTACACCATAACCGAATAAAGAGCTCACATAAAAAGCAAAAGAAGGCATGCTTATTTGACAGTTTATATAACTTAACATAGGGTTTTGTTTTTTACTTATTAGAGCTGAAAAATATTAAATATTCAATACTAAATCAAGCGAAAATAAATTGTAATTTTAAAATAAGTTAAATATAAATCTCAAGTTAAAGATAGGCGAGGCAGTGGTGCAGTAGGTAGTGCTGTCGCCTCACAGCAAGAAGGTCGCTGGGTCGCTGGTTCGAACATCGGCTCAGTTGGCGTTTCTGAGTGGAGTTTGCATGTTCTCCCTGCCTTCGCGTGGGCTTCCTCCGGGTGCTCCGATTTCCCCCACAGTCCAAAGACATGCGGTACAGGTGAATTGGGTAGGCTAAATTGTCCGTAGTGTATGAGTGTGTGTGTGAATGTGTGTGTGGATGTTTCCCAGAGATGGGTTGTAAAAACTTGCTGGATAAGTTGGCGGTTCATTCCGCTGTGGCGACCCCGAATTAACAAAGGGACTAAGCTGACAAGAAGATGAATGAATGAATGACCTTTTATGTGTCTAAAGATCAAAGATCAAGGAAATTTTCCATTAATCATTTCATGACCTCCTTAAAAATGACACAAGGTATTACTGACATGTTTTATGTACTAGAATAAAACTTGAAAATACCTTGAGTGTTTGTTTTTTTAGGCAACCCATTAACTTACCCCTTTAGCACCATAACTGCCCTTTAACCGTTTTCTATAGGTTATTATAAAAAAGGAAATTAGTAACATACAATGCAAGTTAAAGGGTTAAAAAAAACATTGACTTTGGTCAGTATGAAACCTGAAAATGCTAAATGCCTGATTTCAAATATCTGACCATTCAATAATTCAATATAGTAAATCTGAGTTCATTATAAAGCAAAAAAAAAAAAAAAAAAAAAAAAAAAAACTATTTCTAAAGCTTGTCATTTTTATCCAGCTTAGAATCTAACTTGGCATCTTGTTCATGCCTCAGTGCCTCACTTGAGTAACTATGAATGTGTGTATTTCAACAGGGTGTCAGAACATAATCTATCAAACCTAAACCCCCCACTAACCTGGACTAAACACACTGGACTAAACATCATCAGTGGTATGTGTGGACATAAAAGGTTACAAGAAACTTCTCACCTAGTACCAAGAAGGGCACGTCATGAAAGTTCTGGCCAACATCGTTCTGAACTTCACACCTGTATTGTCCAGAGTCGGTCGCCTCTAAAGGACGAGTAAACACTAGACTGCCATTATGCATGTTTACACCTGCAGGCATTAGTGCGTCCAGCCTAAAGGGTGACAAAAGACAGGATTATCAGTTTAGAGCCAGTTTTTCAGGAGAAAGCCACCCTAAACAAAGCTTGAATTCATCTCATACAGCAAGGCCCTAACCACATCTTGAACTCTGTATCTTTGTCTGTCTGATTGTGTGTGTGTGTGTGTGTGTGTGTGTGTGTGTGTGTGTGTGTGTGTGTGTGTGTGTGTGTGTGTGTGTGTGTGTGTGTGGCTTAAGAGGACACCAGTTTGTATAATTACTTTGGTATGAACTAGGTATTACAATTTTAGTAATAAAAAATGTTTTTTGAGGACATGTCTTGTGTCCTCATAATTCAAAAGTGTTTTCATGTTCAAAATTTGCTACAGGTTTCCTGTCAGGGTTGGGTTTAGGGTAAGGCCATTAATTACACCCCTGTCTGGAATACTTGATTCTGATTAGTCAGTCACAACAAGTATGTTATTCTGAGATAACAACTGCTGAATAACATAGGTTCTGGGATAACAACTGCTGAATAACAAATGTATAACATACATTTGGGTATTTCAAATCATTTTGACTACCAGTGAATATGTTTACATCTATTTATATTCTCTTCTGTCTTTTACTATGTTTAGTTTGGTGCCATTTTGTCACTGAATAATGGACAGATTAGTGAACGATTACAGCTTTGAACGATGTTTTGTGTCTACTACGAGTCTATTTGTGGAAAGGGTGGCAATATAAAAAGCTGGACAGAAAACATCCAAGTGTTTTTTTTTTTTTTCAGAATAAAGACCTTAAGCCACATACAACAGCCTTCCGAGGTTGTCGCCATCGTGTGACTGAATAATACATATGTTAGTGTATGCTCCATTCAGCCATTTTTGCTTATGTTAGCTTTAAAGAATTAATAAACAATTCTAGCTCAGAACAAATGTTTTCTGTCCAATTATTTATGTTTTGAGGCAAGTAGCTGAGTAATAAGCAGCATAAAGTAAATCCAGATGCTTGTTTTTGCAGTATAACCGTACGTTCACACCGAAAGCGGCGAGAGCGTCCAAGGTCGCTCTGGCCGCCCTGGCGACAACGCTGTCTGCCTTCAGCTCCGGCGGCGAGAGCGTCAAAACTCGCTACATTGATCTCATATTTAAAGGAGCCGTTGCAGCATATCAGTTACATTCCTGCATAAGGCATGTTTTTAGCGTGAAAATGTTGCGCACTTTTTATCAAATTCATATAACAATCGAAGATCAAGTTGCGTGTGGTGTGGCTTTGCTCTATTTATCCAATATGTGTCCATATGTCTGAAATATCCTGAAGCAGCAGTACTGTTTTGTACTGTCACATCGCGTGAGATTCCCGCTTTTTAAAGATAAATTTATATAACATTAATGAACATCAGTAACTCGCCAGTAACTTATTTAATGTATGTTCCTGTAGGAAAACATTGTAAATAATTGGAAATCCGGCGACCGCAATAATCAAACCCTTGGGAACAACTGTGGTCGGAACCAAAGTTCACAGGTCTGTGTTCCCTGAACTGCTATCAAGCGGTGGACGTCTTCATTCTGATTGCTTGCCGCCGAAACGCGTCATAGCTCATTACCATAAAGTTGACTTCATTTCAACTCTCCTCGACGCTCACGCCGGCGAAGACGCGCCGCACTGCTCCTCGCCGCTTATCGTCGCCTATCGCCGCCGGCTCTCATTGAAAATGAATGACTTCCGGCTACTTTGACGCTCTCGCCGCTTTCGGTGTGAACGTACGGTAATGGTGCGTTCACACCAGAGGCGAATGAAGCATCCAGCGTGAGTGATTTACACATTAAATCAATGCTAAGATGCAAATAGATATCCTGCGTTGTAAGATGAGCATTTTGCACGTTTGACACGTTTAAAGCCACCTTTCAACTGCCCAGGACATTTGGACAAGATTGTCAGAATACACCCTTTTGTGACAGTCGCACAGAATTTTTAATTTTGTCGTGCACCATGGAAGAGAAACTGTTCTCACAGTGTCCGAAATACAGCAGTGCAAAAGCAAGAGCCTTTATTCTCTGTGCGTTTACCATGGTTGAATGAATGAATACTAGAAAATCATAGACCACAAAAACTTTGAGAGAATGTGGAGACAATATAAAAATATATATTTTGTTATTACTCATTTACGAATAAAATTTTTTTTTAATAAAGACTTTTTTCTGATTCAGAAATAACGAGAAAAACTATCTGTCACTTGTTGTTTGTCGTGTGCAGTGGAAAGGCAGCTTAATGCCAAAGTCGCTTGATTTGGAAAATCTGACCTTCAGTGGACATTCACGCGGATGTTAACCAATCATGAACTTGCTCTTGCTCATGAACTTGCAGGATTATGACAAAGTGCCTGTTGTTGGTGTCCCAAGGAGAAATTTTCTTAGTGACAGGACAATAGCTCATCAAACTGAGCTTGGCTCAGTTAGAAGCAACTCTAAAAGCTTCCAGCATCCAGGTTCAGTTTCTAGAGGAGTTTATGAACTCAGAGAGCTGGGTGCACCTCTTAAATCAGGATCTAGTAGACTCAGACACAGCGCCGAACGAATCTACGCTGTTTTTCAGCCTTCCTAAAGCACATAAATCATTGGCTATTCTCTCAATAAAATCCATGTTAGTCATTTAGCAGGGAAGCTGCTACGGGCAAACAGAAGAATCTGCATCTATTGTGAAGTGAATTTGATGCGCGACTGAAACAAATGAACTCAAAATGTTCACGCAACTATTTACACGCGAATAGCATGATTTATTTGCGCGTGCTGCGTCTGGTGTGAACACAGCAAAGCACTTCACATCAAGCTGCAGAAAAGCCTGTTTATCTTTATTTTGCCATAACAACCACCTGGATATACACTATCTCTAATATATTAAGCTTTTTTTCAATAAGATACATTACACCTATAAAGAGTCCTCTTAAACTACCAACATGTTTGTGAATGTGTGTGTGTGCATTTTTGGTGGTTTACAAGAACAGAAATTTCTATAATGACATAGGTGTGACATAGGTATTACAACACTGATGTGTTTTATGAGGACTTGTCCTTGTAGTTCAAAATGCTTAAAAATCATACTGAACACAGTCTTTTGACATTCACAATTATCCAAAGGTTTCTTGTGAGGGTTAGGTTTATGGGTAGGACCATATAATAAGCATGTTTTTACAGAATAAAATACATTATGCCTATATTGAGAGTCCTTGTAAACCACCAGTACTAACACATGTGTGTGTCTATCTGTGTATCTAAAGTGATCATACCATTGAACTGACATGTCTAATAAAGATAGCAAATGTTAGTGTAAACAGACCTGGTCCAAAGGTAAAACAGGGCTGGTGGGTTTGCATTGGCTTTACAGTCCAGCTGGACGTCTTTTTGTCCAACGTACCACACATTCTTCCCGCCTATCACCATAACATCTGGAACAACTGTAAAATAATTCAAGTCATTGTTGCATGAAATTAAAAGCCTGAACATGAGCATCACCTTGCTATAAAATTATATAGTGCAGAGCAAAAGTAAAACCCATTTTCTTTCTTCCAGTGAACACAACAGAGGATATTTTGTAGGGTTTAATGCATAGTGTACTTCACAAATCCATGCGTTTTTTGGTTAATACTGTAAATCACAAAGCATAATAATTTTGATTACATTTTTTCATTTATCCAAGTAGAAATAAAAGCAATAAAACCAAAAAGCAACAATTTGTCACAGCTCTATATACATTTTTGATAGATTCATCCAAACCTACAACAAATGAGACAACACTAAAAACTTAAGCAAACATATAATGGATATGTAAAATGTAAGTATTCAACAAAATATTTCTCTCTAAAGATGTAATGTTTAATATTTCTCTCTAAAGATGTCTAAAATGTCAAGCTGTGGACATTGAATAACATTCTGAGGTCAATCTAATGTTGCAGGAGTTTACAAGCTGTTTTACTGATGTCTTTTTGGCTTAAACAATGCCTGGATTACAAGGGAAATGATACATTCCAGTATTTTTACTGTTGGACACCTACAGCATGATCTCCATTCATTTTTATTTCGAGCTATAACTAGTGTTCACAAGGAAATATATGTTGTTCATGTGCTGTTTGAACAGAGGCTACCACAGCAGTAAGGCATGCCACATTTCAGAGCATCAAAATGACACTCACTGTTCAATAAAGCTGTCAGAATAGAAAGCTGAGACTTTGTTTCATATATGTTTCATAAAGTAATTGTGTTAACTGGATGGCAAGCCTACTACAAAAAGTGTTCAGTGGAGGTCGCACATAAAAAGAAAATATTAAAGTGCATCAAATTTCACGTAATTATCCATTTTTCTACACCACTTTGTACTGTTGGGTTTGTATAGCCAAAGCTTTGGCCACTCATGCCAATGCCAAATGTCACTTTCAATGGTGCCAGCAGCAAAAATCTTGGCCTTTGGACAATGTGAAACAAAATGTATTGTTCTCAGATGAGTCCACCTTCACTGTCTTTCCCACATCTGGTGTGGAGAAGCCCCAAAGAAGCATACCACCCAGACATGTTAAGCTTGGTTTATACTTCTGCATGGAGTGATCAGCGTGACCAAGGGCTGTGCATTTATACTATATATATATATATATGTTCATGTTAGTTAATGTTAATTCATGGTGCATTAACTAATGTTAACAAGCATGGACTTGGATGTTAATAATGCATCAGTAAATGTTAAATTATGATTAATAAATGCTGTACATGTGTTGTTCATGATTAGTTCATGTTAGTAAATGCATTAACTAATGAACCTTATTATAAAGTGTTACCCACTTGTATATATATATACAAACACTCTCTCCAATGGGTTAGCACAGCTCTCAGTCCCGCCCACACATTTATCAGCACTACCAAGGTGCACATCAGGGACGGCCACGGCGAGGGCTATGTGTCACTCCTGGAAGGTACACTGGTACTATTTGTTAGTTTGGTACTAATTTGCCAACTGTTAAACTTTGATTTGGAAATGGTTTGAATTTATGGTTACTAGAAGAAACGTTTGTGTTTCATTTGGGAGAACACTAAACATAGAGAAGGGCGATATGGCAAAAAAATGATCACAATATTTTTTTCATATGAGTCGATATCGATATTTATCACGATAAATGTAAAATCTTTATATCTATCAGTTATATAAGATTTTCAGCATGCCAATGGCTTTGTGCAGCTGATTTAACAAATTTAGTGAAATGTTTTAGCTGTCTGACAATATAAATAATAAAATATTAAACAAAAGAACAATCTTAATTCAGCATTTACTTGTTCAAGTTTTCAACAACCAAAGACATTACCAACAAGTTATTGGATATTATTGTTCAACATCAGAAAAAAAAAAAAAAAAACGATTTGGAACAACGTGAGTTTCACAGAATTTTCGGTTTTGGATGAACTCTCCTTTTAATGGTGAGTATGGTGAATTTAGGGTGAAATATACTTTAATGTATTTTATTTAGGGATGCTAATGATTACTTGATCTATTGATTGTCGATAACGCTTTAATTGATAGACCTTATCGATGACTCATTAAGCATGGAGATGTAAAGGTTTAGTTATGCTTTGCGCTGAGACGCATCCACGCATTACATAATCAAGTGTGTGCAGTTTACCTTACTTTTGCTGTCACATCACATATTGCGGGTCGCATAACACCTTGTTATGTGCATATCTCCGATATATCCGCGCGTGTTTTGACCAAGTTTGTCTGACAGACTAGCACGTATAGGTCTATGCAGGCTCTCAATTTACAAATCGCGCATCACAACGAAAACATGCGGGGAGCCAGACGGTGAGCCTCTTCATTTACACAGCGAGCTTCTGAGCTCCATCCAAGTTTATTATTCCGAGGTAACCCAAGAAATCTATCAGTGCTGCGAAAAGACCACGTCCAGTTCATGCTGCTCAGACCGCGCTTAGTTAATGATTTAAAATAAAACCGTGAAAATAGTTTGATGGATTGTTTTGGCACTAAAGCTTATAGCGGGCTTGTGTTAAAGTGCTTCACCTCAGATGTTATTCGTTCCTTTTGTTTATGCTGTAGATAACTGACCAACAAAATATACTTCAAAATTAAGTTACACATTATACAAAACGAAATTTGTTACAAAAAGATACATTTTCAAGGAAATATGTTTATATTTATTTAGTTCGTGTCAGCCTTAAACAACTGCGGGTGGATGATGTTTCGCTCAGTGGAAAAAAAGCTGTTGCTGTTGTAAACGTCTGTCATATATTTGCTGCATTTTTAATATGTCATTATTTTAAGGATTATGTCTTGAGCATCTGATTTCTCCTCTGTGATTATGTGCTTTAAATATATAAAGGCTGGTTCTTTTACCGTCGATGAGATACAATAGTGGTATTACAGATTTCAAAACAAATATTTTAATATTAAAAAGGAAACAAGCTTAACATCAAAAGATCTTATTATTGTCTTAACAAATACCGTTAAATGATGCAGGCTGTAGTTTACTGCAAGCATCAAGTGTTCATTGAGATGTGATTGAGATTGTGTTCTGTCATATCTTTCGTCTGTCTTTTCGGGTTTTTTTTTCTTGTATAAGGCGCGGCTTTCGAAAATGATGACATGAGACTCTGCTGGGTAGCTGCGCTGGTTTGCCAACACTTGTTTATGTCTGTAATTTCTTAGCATCTTTATAAGGGTGGTCTTGTTTTACATGGTAAAACAGGTTCTTGGTGTTGCCTGCTTTTGATGACACAAGTCTTTGTCACAATGTCTGTGACTGACCTTTTTTACCTTATTTCTTTCTTACTTCTTTCAGTGCAACTAACACTGTATGGCTGTAAACTTGTATGGCATGCATCAGTCGGAAGGGCAGGCTGTAAAATGCTTGCGTAATGTTACGCATAGTGTGTAAATATTATCGAGCAATTATCGAACTGTCATTATCGTTTTATCGAAAAATTTTATATCGTGATAATTATCAATATCGAATTATCGCCCAGCCCTAACTAAACATAGTTTTGTATTAAGTGCATTGAGTTTAAAGTGTTGTGTAAATGACTTAAAAGTAATATATTACAATCTTAAGCCTATCTTACATTTAAAAAACACATACATTCACATTATTTTCCTTGAAAAGTAACTAAGTAACCTTTACGTTTTTAAAAAAGATACTCACGATTGTAATATGTTACTTATAAAAGTAACTTTACCCAACACTGTGTCAGTGTGCATTTCAAAATGCAACTTTGGATTTAACAACTGCGTCATAATAATCAAAAAGTAAGGTCACATAACTGATGTTATCAACCCAGCCCCAATTCTCTACTTTCTCCATTCAGTGGCTTTTCAATGTAGATTAATCAAGATTGGAGCTAACAAACTAAAGGTGCAGTATGTAAGTTTTAATGGTCGAACAAGGTGATGCATTCCTGGATCAAAACACATGCAAGTGCAGGTTGCCAAATTGAAGACCAACAGGAGTGTGTGTGCGCCTGTCTATCAAGCCTAATGCACATTTTCAAGCAGAATATCTGACTTCAGCATTGTCTTTCAGATAAACAAGAATGATTACTTAGCATGTTTCTTAAATATCTGCAAATATCCAAACAAAGAACAAAGATCCAAACAAAGAACTATATATATATATATATATATATATATATATGTAATATCTTTTTATGGGTGTGTTTACTGTATGTTGTAAAATGTTTAACTTTCTTGGAAAACTATCAGTTTAATGTCAATCTCTTTTTCTGAGCAATTAAAAGTGAAATCAATTAAATGAGACATTCAATCTGAGCATGACACCATTCTCACACTCTAAAGAGAGTGTGAGAATGAGATCTGATTGGCTAATTCAATTACACACAAACCTCAGGATACTGAAGCTTATGGGGCTGAGAAAATAAACGGCTGTGTGAAATGGAGAGCAGACTCAGGACTGAAACGGAGAGCCTTGAGATTTAACCCCAGCAGTTGATATGCAAACAACAACGCGATCAAACTAGTATCAGCATGGAGAATGTTCTGCTCTCTTACTCAACAATGCAAATCACAACTGCCCATTATTGAGGGTTACATTAAAGTGACAAAAAAGTACTCCTCCTCCAATTGTTTTGCTGTAAAACCTTTTTACTTAGTAAAACTTACAAACTCAACTTCACCAGCTTGAGTTGACTCACCTTGAAAATGTGAGTCAACTCAACTAAGAGAGATTCTTTGTTTCATTTTAAGATGTTGAGTTTTAGTAAAATATATTGTGAAACTCAACATCTTAAGTTGAAACAATGAATCTCTAAGTTGAGTTGACATTTTCATAGCAGCTGGTAAACTTGAGTTTGTAAGTTTAACCATTGTGAAACATTTTACAGTGTAAAACCTGTTTGAGATTCTTTCTAGCTTTAAAAAACACAAAAGAAGATGTTTTGAAGAAAG